TGGAGGTAGGTCCTGGGGGGGGGTACCATATATATATATATACATATATATATATATATATACATATACATGTGTCACATGCATCACATCTCCATACTCTGCCCTGGTCCAATGCCTTGCTGCCTCGACGCACTGCCACGCCATGCTTCCGCCAAACTCATGCATTCTTTGCGCGGAGCGCTTCCTAGTGCCTAAAAGCCAGCCGAGGCCTGGGCCTTGTGGGTGTCGGTTTATGTGCCGTGGCCGCTTTGAGGCTTCATTCGCTCGGCGCCACAGGACGGAAAGCGCTCTGTTTGAAAGCCGTCTCCATGCTGATTCACAAGACAGCAGGAGCTTACTCGCTCTCTCCGAAGGCGCCGGGGATGCGGCTCCAGTGTCCAGCCGGACTCAGGTAGGCCACGCAGGGTAAGGTCACGCTCCACCTCCGCGGCTCCAGGCTCCAAAGAGTGGCCATCGAGAGCGACGGCACGAAGGATCGTCTTCGGGGGCGGTCCTCATCTTACACACCTTTGTAAGCGCAGCACTCGTAGAGCCTTCACAACCTAATGCTCCTGCAGGAGCGAAGCCGCCACAGATGCCTCAAGACCAAATGCGAGGTCTCCACACATCGCCATTCCAGCGTTGTTTGGGCTAGAGCCCTTTGGGCAGAAGGATCGCGGTCTCCAAGACTGCATTCTAAGCCTGCGCCCTGCAGGCTGGGAAGAGAGCAGCTCGCTGACCTCCGCCCAACGACGTTTCCAGCGAGCTCCTCTGCCCAAGCCCTCGATCATTGGGCGGTTCAAGCTGGTGCCAAGACCACAGCACTTCGAGGCCTCCTTGACATGCAGGGTTTTGTAGACGTGCCCTCCTTGCCTCGCTCGGGAGGCTTTGCATTCTCAAGCTCAGCCCGGCCCACTGCAAAGTGCAAACGCGTCCCTGTGACTGGGATGGCAGTCAGGAGAGGGAAGAAGGTCTGGCGGGCCTGGACTGTCAGGTGGTGGGCGACGAAGCAGCCCACGCTGGAAGCCGGAGGTGAAGAAAGGCACTCGCAGCGTTCGATTCGACAGCCTTGTGAAGTCACGGAACCTATGACGAAGTGAAGTGTTCATGTCCATGTACTACAAGGTGGTTCGCCTTGTCATTGCTGCAAGCATAAAGATCTGCTGCCATGCTTCATACCAAAGAGAAATGCTCCAATCACAAATCAGCCCTGATGTCAGCATATAGCATGCCTCTGACCCAGTAATGGACCATTGCAAGGGAGCTTTGAGATGTGGTTCTGGTTTCTGGCAAGGCTAGGGCTCGGTCACCGGAGCAAGACTAGGTAAAGCCTTAGCAAATCCTGCGACGGGGAAGAAGGAGCAGACCATGCGAAAGGGACTGAGAGCGCGAGAAAATGGAGCAGACCGTTCGAAAAGGATAAGAGGGAGAACTGCTCGAAAAGGACTGCTGAATTTTGAGAAAAGGGAGCAAACCATGCGAAAGGGAGAGAGCAGTACGAGAAAAGTCCGAAAAAGATTGAAGAGATGAGAAGGGCAGAAAACCGTGCAAAACGGGTGCACAGCTGTGATAAAGATGAGAAACAGGAGCAAACCGCTCGAACGGGACCAAAGACTTGGACCGAGGAAGAGGAGCAAGCCGCTCATACGAGAGAAGACAAAGGCTGTTCGAAAGGGAGAGGAGTTGATAAAGGAGCCAACCCCTCGAAAGAGAGTAGAGAAGTTAGAAGAAGAGAAACACATTGCCCGAAGTGGATTAGGTTCAGGAGATGTGAGAAGAAGATGCAGACGGCTCTGAAAGGATTGAAGAAGAAAAGGCAAAAATGATTAGAGAAGAAAAGACAGCGAAGCCAACAGTCCGAAAGAGACAGCAGAAATGGGGATGATGAAACAAATCGCCCGAAACGGACTGGTGAAGTTGAGGGAGAGAGCATGCGAAAGGAACAAGGGAATGTGAGACGAAGGAGCAGACTCGTGACTCGTTGAAACGTTTTGGAGAAGGTGAGAAAGAGGAGCAAAGTGTTCGAAAGAGAGTAGATGATCGAAAAGGAGAAACACACCGCTCGAAAGCGCTTAGAGAAGATGAGAAAAGCTAGCCACGGAGTAAATAATGCGAGAGGATGGAGCAGACTGCTCGAGAAGCATACAGTGCAGAAGATTGGAAAAAGAGCAAACCGTTCCAAAGTGATTCGACAAGCTGAGAAAGGCACGCAAATTGCTGGAAAAGGACTAGGGAATTATGCGAAGAGGGCTACGGCATGTGAGGAAAAGGAGCACACGGCTGGAAAGGGACGAGGGATGCGCAAAAGGAGCAATCAATCCACTCGCAACAGCTTGGAGAGTTGGAACAGGGGAGAGAAACTGTTCGGCAGCACTGGGGAATTTGGCTAAATGGAGCGGACCGCTCGAACAGGACTAGGCAAGACGGGAACGAGGGGCATTGCATTGAACTGCCCTGGTCTCAAAATCTCGTCCCAATTTCCATAGGACCCCCTGCCCGCATCCAGCATGTAGCACCACCTCGGCACTCGGTCTCCACTGGGGTTGAGCTAAAGATCGCGATTTCGTGTCGGCTCGCAGTTGGAGATCGTGTGTTGAATTCGTGTTTTGCCGAACATGCACGAGGCCTGCAACTAAGTTTAAACTTGCAGAATGCCAGGGCAGCTTTGGATGCCTTCGAAGCCGCCCTTGGTGTGTCCCCCGCTGTGCTGGGCACGATTCCCATCCCTTTGGGCTCGGTGGTTGTGCCTTGGCTTTGCTCGTGGGTCTGGCAGTCACGGGCTTCTACGTTTCGGGATGCGGACTGCGGAAGCAGGGACGTGCTGCAGTTGCAGATGTCTTTCCCAGGCCACCGAGTGGAAATCCTGAAGCAAAAAAGCTTACAAATAATTGTAGTCTGTCGTTGTTCCCAATCTGAGACGTGTCACGACCCAGGTCTCTGTTCAGGACAGCCTTCGCTCGGCACGGCAGTCCTGCGCTGAGCTTGTCGGCTATAAACTCCTGCCACTCGGCTTGGTCTGGCTCTGCGCTGCACTAAGCGTTCAAGACATGAGATCATGAGGACTCAACATGGCAAGCGAGTGCTTTTTCTACTTAAAATTTCAGGGCATGCCTAGGAGACGCTTTCATAACGAGGCCTTCCTTGTACTTCGAACCGTCAGCACGACGAAGCATTGGCCAATGTGCAGGGCTGTGAGAAGCCTCCAAGAGGGGTGCCAATACTGCAGCAACTCCTCGAAATGCTAACCAGTAAGAAGTGGTTTTGCTTTGCAGAAGGGTTTGACCATTGCAGAGAATACACGCGATCCAGACGGCTGTCCAGCTCCTGCGAGGAACCACGTTGGTCTTGAGCTGCAGGAGGACACAACATGCCCAAGCGAAGCTGATGAAGAAGCCACTTGATCTGTTCAGGCCAAATCGCTGCGAAGCTGCAACGAACAGCTGAAGGTCTACAGTGTGTGCCTTTGTGAAGCATACCTGTTTTCTGCCCCGAGTGTAGAGCGCCGAGGTGAATGTTTCGTATGATAGTTTGCAATGACTGTATAGTTCAAGCAGTGCTGTAGTAAGCACAACATTTCATGAGCAACAATGAATGTACCTACTGCAGGCGCCTTGAGTACCAAGCGAAAAAGTGGCTAGTATTGACGCATACGACTCCAAGTTTTGGTGTTCAAAGCTATAGACGAAGCGGGCTTTCGCCAAGTACGTAAGAAGCTGATTGGCTCAGGTTTCAAGTCCTGATGCCTGGGTCCTTAATCCGGATAAATCCTCTGATTCTGGCCGTTTGACCGAATCTTTGCAAGTGCACAAATAACATTTCCAGGACTGCCACACCGCAGAGTGGCATTTCGTGCTCCGGTGGCGTGGGCGCACCGCAATTTGTGCGACGAGGTCGTCGATGCATCTTTTGCGTTAAGGCATTTCGTTTTCAGGGTTCTTCAGTGATTGTGCATACCTTTCCCATCGGGCGAGAAAGCCACCCCGTGACGCTTCCGATCTCACAACTGCTGACCCAATCCCGACACCGCAAAATCACAGGCGCCGGCCTTGTCCCAAGCAAATGCTTCTGAATTCTTCAATCCAAAATGGGCAAAGGTCGGATCTTTGGTTGCTACAAGGGTTGAGGGTTGCATTGCGGGGCGCTTGTCTGTTGTCGATACAGCTCCTTGCATTCGTAACTGTTAAGACATGCGGACACGGCGCTACTTTGATCTTGGCTGAACGTGAACTCCATCGCGGACAGGGTATACTTTACGACTGATCAGCAAAGGTCAGAAGAGAGCAAAGGCATCCCTTTTGAAATTTCACGGACCGAAATCCTCAGGCCGGAAGGCGCCTTCCGGTTTGCTGCCACGCTCCGGCAGATGCAATTTCAAGGCCAGCGCACTCTGCCGTTGCGCGGCACCGGATGGCAGCAAGCCTTGCCTTTATCCTGGCAAGTCATGAACTTAATGCGCATCAACTCTCCATGCTCCGCGTTGCAGTGGCTGTTGGGGGTTAGTCCCGTCACGGAGTTTCGGAGCCCGTCTTGAGCACCTTCGCGTAGGTCCTGATGACCTAGGCTAAGTTCCTGCTTGCCTGCAGTGTGTCATGAAGTCCTGAGCTCTGAGACAAAATGCATCCTGGCCGACTCTTGCCACATCATGTCTTTGTGTGGTTGAGCGCACTGTAGGAGCAAAGTTCTCCAGCGATGGAAGTCCATCCAATTTTCTCTTGGAGGACTGAATGCAAGGGGCGGCTCTGTAGTACCAAGAGGCATAATTGAAAGGTGCCAATTGCAAGCTGTTGTGCTTGAGGCCCCATGGAAGAGAGTATGCTTCCTCGCTGGCGTGCCAGCGACGCCTCAGAGTCCGGAAGATCTGGCACAAAACGCAGACCGGCGGCCGCATCATAGCCAGGGATGCAGCTCCTGCAGAGAAGCACAGACACTGCCTGGAGCATGGATGCATCAGTCCACTTCGTGCCGGCACACAAGACCAGCTACGAATGGCACTAGGTTCGTGCCGTAGATACAAGCCTTTGTTTCGGCTTGCGACATGCCAAACTCACCGACCAAAGGTCCCTGGCCATCGAAGACAACATGTCGTAAAGTACGATCCAGAATGCGGGCCTCGCGCGGACACACTGCAGCGCCGCGCTTGCGTGCACTTAGCTCTTGAGATGAGCACCCACACGGGCATCTCCGGGTACTTCCTTCGTTGACTGGTTCAGGGTTTCAGAGCAATTGAAACCTGCACACCGACTTGCAAAACTTAGCAAGCTCCTTCAATCTTGAAGGACTGGCCGCACCACTGCTGGCGAGGACTCCACCTCGACGCGGTACGGAACTGGATGCCGGTGCCTTTTGTCAAGCCTCTTGGAGTTATTCAAGTGCCATTGCTCACAAGGGGTCTCAGCTTGACAGCGTGCGACGGAACTGTAGCTACACTTGTCCGGGATACTCAAAGAAGTCTATGGTTGGAGAAGATTGCAGGAAACCAGGGGCACTGCTCTCAATTAAGCTAGCATGCTTTCACGCCGAGCCGCAGTGACAGTCACTGCATGGGAGTCATGCGAAGGCAGTACATCAAGGCCATGGCAACCTACAAGGCGGAGATGGGACAACTCCGGAGCGGGAAGTCGGCCACCATTTTCTGGATGAGCTTCTGTTTGCTGAGACTCACGGCATGCTGCGTCCTGAGAGGCCAAATTTTTCCATTGGCATCTTACAGATGACCAAGCATGGAGACTGCAGCTTGTCTGACTGCCTGAGGCACTTTCTGAGATTCCCGCCTTTACCCTGCCAGTGCTCAGGTATCTCCCGAGCCGACCAAAGCTTGTCGAAGCACAAAGGGCGCTGCTTGCAACTGCAAGAAGACTTCCCGAACGACCGTTTGTTTAGCTTGACAAGCAATGCTCGCAGAATGTCAGCCTCAGTGCGGTCTTACTACGGACTGCTAGATGGCATGGAAGCAGCTTAGGACTTCTCCGGAATTTTACAGTGAGGACGACGTGAGAGAGGCTTGGGCGAACACATTCTCGCCATTCCATGTACATGTGTCATTTGCACTCATCCAGGTAAGCCTAAAGGTTGAGGAATGCCGAGCACGATGCGGCCAAGCATATCTCAAAGGCGAGGTTGGATAGCAGTCCTCGCCAGGAGACATAAGTGGCGATACAGGCGCTACATACACACATACACACGAGCATGCATGCATGCATGCATGCATGCATGCATGCATGCATGCATGCATGCGTGCACGCATAGATAAGTACTTGCATGCATGCATGCATGCGTACATACATGCATACGCACATACATACGTACATACATACATACATAAATACATACATACATACATACATACATACATACCGGCATACGTACTTTCGTACCTACACCTACCTGAGGGAGGGAGGTAGGGTCGGCAGGTATGGAAGGTGGGTAGGTAGGCAGTAGGCAGATAGGCAGGTAGATGGTAGGAGCAGGCAGGTGGGTAGGTACATAGGTAGAGGCATGGATAGGCAGACAGGGATAACTGGATGAAGCTGTAACCGTGTGCACGTGTGCATGTTGACACGGCTGTCTCTGTTTATCTATGTGTATTGATGTGAGGAGGCACAGATTGCACGAGAAATTGCAATTCGATTAGTGCGTGCTGATCCTACGGAATGGTTTTGCTGCCGTTTGCAGGTGGTGGACTTTGCAGCACGCCATTTCGTCACAGTTGTCCCGGTGATCGAAATGCCTTCGCATGTCCTTGCCGTGCTTTCAGTTTACCCTGAGTCGTGGACTCAGACACCATGTCTTAGGCTTGAGCACTGCAGGGGCACAGTTTCGGGAGAATATGTCCACGAGTCCAAAGGCCATGCAAGTTCGAATTCGTCATGTAGCGATTGAAGTTGAGATGCATCCTGTACACCCATCCTGAGAAAGCACAAACGTTTAGGATTTTCTGAGTGCAAGCCAAGTCTCAGAATCCTGCAACACCTGGTTCCAGGGCACCAACTGCTAGAGTTCAGCTGTGTAGTTAACCTCGTGCCCGACGTGACTCGTGGCCTCCAGAACATCTGTCAAATTAAGGCTGGCGTGCCGTTCAGGCCCCTTCCACGTGCCAGTTTCCCGCGAGGGCATTTACAAGGACATTGCTCGCGGGCAGTCATCGAAGTGCCACGGAATACGGGACCGTGTTTTTCGAGTGAAACGGCTGGTTGGTTCTCCGACTGAGAGTAGATGGTGGTGGCAAACCCAGCTGCAGAAAGTAGTGGGTTGTTCGAAAAATGTGAAACCCGAGTTAGGGGTGGCTGGTTTTTGCAAGACCCCGACACCCAAAAGGGCATGACGAATGGCAGATCCAAAAGAAAAACTGGGCCCTGAAAATGATTGTTCGTTCGAGGTGACAACCGGGGGTCACTGCGTCCCCATATCCCAAGCCCTGGCACAACCAAAACCTCAAAAGATGTGATGTGTGGCCAAGCTTCAACCTTAAGCAGGATTCTCTGACAAGAGATGGCGGATGGCAAGCAAAAACTCCGAACTTTGAAACAGGATGGGCTAAGGTTCCCAAACCCCCAAGCCAGGATGGCCTTCCTCGCTCGTTCTCGTTATGCTTACTTTTTCGCAAGGTGCGAAACACGGGCCCGTATGTGGTGGCTTCCTGTTGTTTTTCTGATAGAGTGCATTCGCTTGATGCTTTGGTCTACAGTCTAAACTCTCCGGTTTCGTTCACAAGCCAGAATTGAAGAGTCACGCCTTCCAGGAACTCCTCTGCGTTGGCAAGGCAAGGTGCTCTTCAGCAGAAGCGCCAAGTTCAACAGCATCTCAAAAACCAGGTTCAAAGTTGCATCAAGAACCGATAGCTTTACCAAGTAGACTCATAGCATGAAGGTAGTCAAAATATTCACGTCCCTGCATTGGCACAGGCTTCTACCCTGCAGTTCGCCGCAGATGTTCTCACAGACGTTGCGGCGCTTTTTCCCGGCAGGTACGAAGTGGGGCGCAGGGGCGAAGGAAAGAGTTGGGTTTTTCCATCCATCCGGCCGGAGCATGCCACCATTTGCCATGTGTCCGTGGATGTGCCAGGTACATTCATGTCGGCGGCGACGAGGCCGTGTTCGATGCATGGCAGGAAAGTGAGCATGTGAGGCAGGGCAGACGGGTCCGGGCGAGTGCACCAGGGAAGCCCAGTCGGCAAGAATATCCCACTGGTAGCTCCGAAATCGACTTGTGGAAAAGCCCCAAAACCGATATCCGCCCAAGATGTTCGTAAGCGCGGGGGGGAGTTATACATACCAACCTCAAGTCCAAAGATCTCGAGTCCAAACACACTCAAGCGCCCCAAAACCTGTTTCGGCCAGGGCTTTTGCAGGCCATGTCGGGCTTCGCAACTTGGGGCCGGACATTTTGGAGGCTCGGTGGGCTGGACACCATCGGTGAGGGAATCGGCCTTTGAGATGAACGCGGGACGTACGGCTCCCCGTGGTGCAGACTGCAACCGGCCTTTGCGGGTAGGAGGAAGGGTTTCTCATGGCACGGATGTGTGAGGCTTGGTTCTGTGCGGTGGGGAAGATCCTGAAGGATGCACTCGGATGCACTGTGAGTTGGTTTATGCTGGTCATGGAACATGTCATCTTGTTCTTCCACTTAAAAAACGGTCCCTGCTACTGCCTTCTACTGCGATGCGCAATCAGAGTAGTCTGGCCCATCAAAGTAGACTCCTGAAGCCTATCATCCTCAAAGAGCACGCAAACGGCCATCACCGAAATCCCCAGAGCTTCGAACGAAACAGGAGCCAGAGGTTGCTGGCTTCGTTGTTCTTTCTTGTTGACAGCTTCCTGCCAAATTTTTACATTGTGCATTCGACGGGGTTCAGACCGTGCAAGCAGCAATGACTTGAACTCAGCGCAGAGGAGCTTGGCAAACAGCCCATCATGCACCTTGGAATTAGTTCGAGCAGGCTCCTGAAGTCTCAAGGCAATGGGAGACGGGCACCAGAGTTCGCAGTCGGAAGTGTGAGCATTACTCAGCTGCCTGAGAGAAGCTTGAGACGAAGGGAAGAGTTGCCGAGGTGGGACGACCACTTTGAGAACAGGCCGTGGTGCACGAGACTATGTCCGAATGCTGAGGAGGCAGCCGCTGTGCCGTTACCACATGACCCATAAACCCTGCAAGCGCAAAAGACAAACTCATGCTCCGTATGGGAGGACTGGATTGTCCAAGCATGGAAGATGCAGCCACCAGTCGGGGACGGGATGGCCGGAGGCTGAATGATCCTGGATAGGGGGCGCGGGGCTGGTGGGTCCCTGCAGAGCCTCAAAAACACGTGATTCCCAACGAGATCTGCGGAATTGTGCCAGTCGTTGCCGTCGAACGGTGTTGAGATTCTTGTGGTGCACTGGAACAACATGCCCCCCTTGCCCATGTCCTTTTGTGAGCTGGCTCTCGCTGTGGCTCGGACTTCGAAGTCTTGTGCACATGCTGGTTTGCCTTCACCTGCCTCCGAAAACATATATCCAATTGCCACACCTTGGAAAGACCATAGATTCTGAGCTTCTGCTTGCCATGGGTTAGCTAAACCAGATTTCCCATCATGAGGATACATACTCCTTTTGCCACATCTTATGGATCCTGTCGGATGTCGTAGTCTAGAATCTCCCGCTGTGTGTTCAGATTCGAGTCCTATTTCATGATCGACATCTTCGCTGCGCCTGAATCCCGTAACCCCATACTGTGTCCCTAGTTCAAGCTCTTACAGCTACCCACAACGCAAAAGTGTTTCCCCATGGAGTGAATCTCGTGGCCGTGGCTGATCACGACCACGCCGAATTCCGGTGCCCTGAACTCTTTGCGCCGAACAAGTTTGAGGTTAAGGCTGCGACGAGAGTCTGGTCGCCTCGACCGTGACGGGTGGTAGGGAAGTCCCTTCCCCCTTCATCAATTGACAACGCAAATCCTGCACGAGACTCGGTACATCTGTTGATGTCTTGGCTCGAGAAGACATGTTTGGTCTTTGCTTGCCACGCGAATGCCCAGAGACCAACGAACTGCAGTCGTATTTTGCCCGATCCTGCATGTCGCCGAGGCCGCTGATCCGACCTTCCCCTTTCGGAGCATCTCTTCTTCCATGAAGGTGGCGAGCCTTGGCGCAACGAGGGAAACGTGATGAAACGTGCCATGGTTCAAGGGTGTTCAAGGCAACCAGCACCTCATATCAGCCTTCGGCCCTTCGGCCTTCTGGGAGCGTGGACACCCTATCTTGACCACTGCGAGATGTTTATGAGGTATCTTGACTATCCGCTGGCATCCATTGACTTCAATCGCACCCTGGAGATGCTGCCTTCGACTGGCCCTCGAATGCTGGGACCCCGTGGTTGTGGTGTACTTGGGGTGGGGAGCTTCAACAAATGCGTGGATTCCGAAGCTTGACTCAGAAGCCGCTGTGTCACGCAGGAGGATGTGCCACGATGTGGACCGAAGACACTGCGCCTAATGCAGTCGGGGCGAAGGCGGGCTGGATGAAGTTGGCCAATCGTTCATGGTCACAAGAACGAATCGGGAGGGATCAAGGTTTCGGTTGGAAGACTGGAAATTCGACCCGTAGGCATGATGGCACATTCATGCCCGGAACTGCCTGCGTAAATGTTGACGAGACAAGCCACCCCAACACTCCAGTCTGTGCCGCGATTTCACCGACCCACATGAGACCTTGGTGGCGCTCGGGGTGAGGAAGGGAAGCAGCGATGAGGTCGCGGAGACTCGCCGATTGCTCGGAAGATGACGCCAACCCATCCTAGCTCATAGGGCAAATTTACAATGGCTCGGGTAGGGAGTGTGTTTCTCTGGTCGCATCGTTGCTTCGCTGCCGCAAGACCAGAGCTGCTGCCTTGCAGGTCTACCCTCGTTACCTGGGCATCGCAGAGAGGTTGTGGGGAGGCATCCAACAGCACTCGTATCACTCCGCACAGCCCGCAGCCAGAGGTGTGCTGTGCCAGGTATCGTCGACCCGAGGCACCCGCGGGCCTTGGATGAAGCCAGAGTCTCAGCCTGCGGACCCCAAATGCCGCCGCGGGAGCCCAATTGTGGACAGGACCTCTGGACGGCTGCCGAAGCACATTGCGGTCCTGAGGGGCCTCTTGCCTCGATTGGACTCATTGGGCAAGCCTGGATTACAAGGCGTTGTACGCATGAAGACGGCGGACACCTTTCACCCGTAGACTTGTTTCCGTCAGGTGCATACATGATGCCGCTGTCAAAAGCCTTTCTCGCGCAAGATCCATGGATATGTAGATTCGTCAAGGGCTGTGTGATAATCCTTTTAGTTCAGAAGACTTCCAAACAGCATCATCAGCGCGGGGAAAAGGGAGGGAGGGAGGGAGCGGGGACGAGGGCACTGCACTCTTCTCTGCCCTCCCCCCCCTTCCCTACCCTTTTTGCCCTCACCCCTCTGCCCCCTTCCCTGCCACAAACCAGCAACAGATATGTGACAAAGACTCGCGGAAGAGCCCTGAAATGCCTCCTCTACAGGAAGCGAAAACCACGTACGGCAGTGAAACGCTGTGGGAGTGGTACTGGTCGTGTCGTTGGCGAGGTGATTTGCCTGTCTAGTGGTGAGAGCTCACTGGGTTGTCCCTTCGCTTCTTTATATCAAGGATGGGTTGACGTTTTCTCGACAAGGTGTCTTGTGGATCTTCCATGCAGCCTCTCCACCTGTCAGCTTACTGCTGCATGAGTAGCCCGTGATTTCGACTGCTACGTCTTGGCCCGCACATTCTGCGTTGTCTTGTTTCGCCCTTCGTTTCATGCGATACATCGCCGCCTTCGTGCATGCGGATCTCTGAAGCCCTCTCGACGTTTCTTCGCAGCGCGGGTGGCTTGCCGGTGCGCGATGCAACCCCTCATATCAAGGTCCATACAGTCACAGCGGCTTTCTTTTGGGATCTAAGGCTGCTCAGCACAGACCTCGGCTTCGCTTGTGGACGATTCCAGCCCATGGAGAGCATCCGGAGCCCGGTGCGCTGGCAGAGAAATGGGTGTAAAGAGAAGGATGCTCCCTCAAGCTCGTTTATGGAGTTGCTAGTCTGGAAGACTCGGCGCACATTGGCTGCTTTTGTTCCATAGTCCCTCATGATCCAGCTGGACACATGCTCGCTCTGGCACACACAGCGGACATTGCAGACCGCAGCTGCCTACAGGTTAGAGGTTAGAGGTCATGTGATGCGGTCCGTCAGGTACAACTATCTATCCGCATCAGGTAGCTGCAGGGGTAGATAGCATCAGATCAATCGCAAGACCTCTAACCAACACCCCGCCCCCCCTCCCCCAACCCCGCCTTTGTCAACTGCTCCGGGGAGATAGGGCTTACCCGGCTAGTTCAGGAGCCCGTCAGATTCTATCTCTCTTTCTATCAATCTATCTGTCCATCTATCTGTCTATCTATCTATCTATCGATCTCCTGTAGGTGCCAACCCCTTTGCCGGCAGCCCCCGTCAGGTAACCCCTCGACTAGCGGCGGTTTGGTTCATGAGCGCATCACATACTATCAATATCTATCGATCGGGAGAGGGATTACGCGGCATACGCTCCTTAGCAGGCTGCACTGTGCTCCAAAGCAGAGTTTAAGTACAACTTGGCAAGAGCAGCGCCAGGTATTCAAGAACGCAACGATCTCGTCAAGCATGGTTACCTGGCCGAAATGATGAGTGCTGCTCTGCAAGTCCTGCGACCCGTCGGACAACCGGGAAACCAAGGAATCGTTCTCTCCAGCTTTTTCTGAAGGCGGCACAATTTGCCGTTAGTCTGATCGCCAATACCTGTGCAACGAAGACCGTGGAACGTACCTGGCAAGACCGTGCCATCGACACCAGTGACGAGAGCTACTTCTGGGCCGTCGCACCCAAGGCTTGCAGCTCACAAAGCCGCCAAGGACAATCTGCTGAAGGTCGTGCCCCCATACTTTCGAGCCAAGTCAGGCCGGCGACTACATGGACATCACCTTCCGCGCCGAGGCCTGCACGGGGGCATTCCGCGCACTGCAAAGAAGGTTTCGGGTAGTGAAGTGGCCACGATCGTTGTTACGTTGGGTCCTCGCGGGTGGCAACGAATGGCCAAGCAACGCCAACCATCACAACAGGACAGCCACCGCGGCCTCGTCAAGGGGAATGACGCCAGCTTTTCCGCGAAGTGGTCGCTCAGCTGCGTGGAAGTTGCCATCACCTCTTGGAGACTTCCTAGCCTGAATTTGGACAGTGCCAGCCAGGCAAATAGTCTCTGAAAGTTTTACTTCTGCAAAGTGCATCAAATTAGCATCGTGAGTCAGGCTGACGTGAACTGTGTTCCGCCTCTACCACTTTGGAAGTTCATTCCCATAGAGCCCGACGGCTGATCGCTAGTGGCTCGGACTCGTACGCCAGCCTAGTGGCTAAAGATATATCCTGCGAACCTGCTCTTCCAGAGCTGTCATTTGTTGCTCCGGTCTTTCTGAGTCCTTGTCCGGTACTCCGGATACACTTGCAAGTGAGACCATCGACCAGATGTTGAGGCTTAGCCGGCTTACGATCAAGACGGGCTCCAAGGACCCGAAGATGTGCAACAGATCTCGTTCCCGAAATCAGAGCACACTCGATGCTGCAGTTCTGAAGTCGCGTGTTTTCCGACGTTAAAAAACTTGTGTCCATGGAAAGTCATGGCACAGTTCAGCATCCATCCAAAACTGAACAGAGCTTCTAAAAGTCATGTGCCATAGACACGTCTCAGCACAGAAGTCTACATGTTTGACTTGAGCGGAGCAAGCACGGATCTGGGCCTCGTTACGTGACGAAAACACTTGCAGCACGCACACAGTCCAGGACCGACCTGGTGATCAACTTCTCAAAGGCATGACGAAGGTGATGCAGTGGTCGCAGGACTATTTCGTGGATTTAGCATGCTGCTTTGGGACGTTCTGTCAACCTCTCGCTCTCGACACAGGTCCAACGTACATGTCGGGCAGGACCCCGCGACCGGAAAACGCGAGCGATCGTGGGTCGCTCTGTGCAGCTTCGACCGTGGTATCTGTGATGCCCCACAGAACGCTGCTGGTCTGGATGGGTTTGGGTTCCAGTGCAACATAATTAGTCCCTTCTTCGCAGCGTCGGAGGTGCCAAGCTGAGGTCCTTGCAAACGGCCCCATCTCCTCGATCCGGATTCTGGTCTTACAGGATCAGGAGCTTCGGCCCGTGAAAGACGTCCCCAACTAGACGCAGAGTACAGATCGGGCATTCCTCGTGGGAGGGACATTCCGCGCGCTGGCACACATCGCCTCAAGATTTCCTTGTTGTGCAGCTACTTTTGTCGTACTCCTGCAAATCATTCCACCCCGTTGTGGAGGCATCTAAGCTTTTCTCACAGATGGCATGCATAGCAGGAGAAGTGGATGACAATGCCGGCCGTCTTGGCTGCACGGCTGCAACGGAAAGAACCAGGACAGGGCAGGGCGAGGGTCCTGCAAGGTCGCGCATTCAATGTGACATGCACACGAACCTGAGATCGCGCCGTTGCGAGGATTTGAACAAAAGCTTGATGCTTGAAATAAGCCGACCTGCACTCCCGGCATGCAAGGCTGAAGAGATGACCGGGCCGGGGATTTGGATGCCGAAGTCTAAGGAGGCCAAAGCCCTACCACACAGTTTGCACATCCAAAAACAGCTCTGCGAAGCCCCTACATCTCGTACATTTTTGCGCTTCACGTGAGCAAGCTGCAGGCGCGTACAGTGACAAGAGCACGAAGTCATCGAGGCTTCTGCATGGGTCTGAAGTTCGCCAGATCTTGACGTGCCAGTGCGAGTTGGAGTTGGCTCCTGTGGTTGGGCTTGGGTGTCAGATACCATTCCGTACAAAATTCCTACTTGTAGCTCCATGTCAGATCTGTGGGCATGAGATGCTTCAGACACTGCAGGGCTATGCCGTTACTGCACAGACGCTTCGAATGTTGCGAGTCACTTGGTCTCTGGACTAGCAGCGAAGCCAGCACTGACTGCGGCTTTCTCCAAGTGGCCCACGAGAGCTCAGAGACGCGCACTTTGCCTTTGCTAGGGAAGCCCGAGCCCGGCTCCCTCGGCGATCCGCAACTTGTCTGTGCCTTCTTGCGATGCCAGACTGCGCGGAACATCAGAGCGCGTGCTGAGGCAGAACGCTTCTGGCTCCGAGAAACGGCGGACATACCGTGATTTGGATAAGAGACGTTCTAATTCTTCGGGTCCCGGTTCGAGCGACATCCGGATGGCTCAGCATCTTGCAGCTGCAGAACTGTAATTTTCTAAGGTCCGGCAAGGCCGGCTTATGATTTTCAAGGGGTTGCATTCTGCAAACTTCAGAAGTTTGGGATGCTGAACTCCAGGGGTAGGGCTACGCTTGGATATCCCCCATGAAACTTCACCGCTTGAGCCTGGCCTGGCCGTGTCGGGAACCCAGGTCGAACCAACGGTACGAAGCGGCAGCCGCACCAGGCGCTTTCTGACGCTTTTTCAGAGCGCCTGTTTAGGGGTCCGTGTTATCAACGATCCTCCTGCTTGGGACTTGGTGTCTGTAAGCTCTGGGTCCTTTGCTTTTTTGCAACTCCCATGTACATGAAGTTTGACTGCGGCGATTCTCTGAGAGGTTCCACCGGTCAACATGTCTGCGGCCCTCCGGCAGCTGGAACACACGGACGCTTAGCTGCAGAACGGGGTAGCGGGCTAGGTTCCGGACTTCTGTGGGTTCTGGTACGCTAACCTTGTTTCGTACATGCCGCGAAGCTTCACTGAGGAAGCACGGCGCAGACCATGCCTTGTTTGGAGATATGACATCAAAGACATGTGTGCGTGTGTGCATAGACCCATCAACCCAGAAACGACTCACTTCGGTTCTGGCTTTAAGCAACCCACCAACCCCAAACCCAATCAGTTTGGCCAAGCGGACTTTGAGATTAACCCTTTTCAGCCCGGCGTTGCAAGAACTGTTCGATGAAGAGGCAACCCGACAGGTGGCATGCGATGTTACAGCATCGCTACGTTCAGAGTGCTCTTGTCATCAACGAGTTTGTGATTGGTGATGGTGCATCAATCGCATCTCCCTGTCGTTTGTCATCCTGGTCTTGCGGACAGGTGTGCAAGCTTCCAAGACTCAGTGATCAATTCGAACTTCGGGCTTTGCGCTGCAACGCAAATGTGCTCAAATCGACTTGCAAAACTGAAAAGAGAAAGCGCCAAAAGCAAAAAGTCGAAGCTCTGCAAGCAACAGCTCATCCGAGCACCTTGAGTAGTAGTAAGGCTGAAGCTGTCATGAAGAGGTCTGACTCGAGCATGTCCAAAGGAGAGGTTTTGGGCTATCGCACATCTCTACTACGTGGATCTTACATCAAAATCATGAAAACCCAACGGAGTGCCATGAGTTTTTGCCCACACTACTGTGCGCAACGCCGCACGCTGCAGCATTGTGCCATCGTTTGCAGAGGGTCCGAAGAGAAGCTATGCAGACGGAGATGGCATAATGAAAAATCCGGTCAAGCGGTTGGGGTTACATTTTGTACGGCCAGGATGCAATTGCACATTCACGGGTGCGACTGTTGTGTTGTTCAGGTGCTTCGGGCCTTCGGCAGGGACGGCAGCTAAGCACCGCTTGGGTGCTTAAATGACACCCGGATGCTGCTCTGCAACAATTAGGACGACGGCCTTCAGGACTTGCCGGGGTTCAAGTCATGCGATGGCGACTTAAGTTCAGATGCAGTACTCCTCTACCAAGAAGCAAGGGAAAACACAGCCGCCACTCGTGTTGCAGGAATTGGGCAATGCCTCTAGATTCTAGATGTTTTTTGTTGTGCGGGGGGGGGGGGTGGTATGGGGCGGGGGGCACTTTTCAGTTTCAGCCGACAGCATTGCTTGAAGGATGCTTTCGGTGCCTAGTTTCTTTTCGACACGTGCTGTGCTGCCCTCGGAGTCTCAGCGGCGCAGCAAAGCTGGAGTGCAGCAGCATTCAACGCGCCTAACGTTGCCAGCCGAAGCAGGTATCGAGAAATCGGTTCAAAACGAGCAGCTGGTCTCTTTGCAGAGAGTTCTCTGGTCTGAGCGGTTCAGTAGCCGCATGTTCCCTTGCTAACGACCTAGGCAGATGTCTTTCGCCGTTTCAAGCAGATTATCATGTTGGCAGTTAAGCACTAAGCAGGTTGTTCGAAGTGGAATTCAGTAGGTCAGAGCGATGCTTGATGTTGGAATGGATATCACAGGGCCTCCCCTGGCCAAAGTCTGCCGCAAATGCATATGGTACACCAATCTCAGTACCAATAAGTCGAGCAGGCACGGGTGCGTCGCGATCTCAGCTCAAGCGGACTCGAGCGAGCGTGAACAGAGACAGCAGTTTGCGGGCTGTGACATTGATGGAGGCAAGCGATTTGCCAGTTATTGTACGGATGCTATGTGGAATCTAGCCCCGATTGTTCAAGGCGTGGCTGGTGAGCCACCACCGCTCTCGCAGGCAGATTGACAATTGAATGACACTCTGTTTCCTCTCAATAGTCCCTCGCGGAGTTACAGCGGCAGTGGCGTGTCGGTGAATTACATGGCAGTGGCCCTGGCAACATCGAACGGAAGTAGCGACAGCAGCGTAGTACTTGTCATTGACCGAAAATTGCCTATTCCGGCCCTTTAGTAGCCGGCCGCGATTCACCAGGCTCCATTGCTAGTGCAAGCGCCCACGACGACCCCTCGGCAGGACAGAGCCACAATGTCTGAGTCTGGATTCAATGATGGGAGGCAGAATGCCGGATGTCTAGATGTGTGTCATGCAGTCTTGGTCCGTCTAGATGATGCCTGTGTGATGAGACTCCACACCGCAATTTGGCAATGCATGGTGGCACCAGTAAGGATCTGCCTCTGATGCTCCAGAAAGCTCAACACACTAGGCACAACATCCTTTCAGTAAGGTCCTGCGTCTCAACGATGTTTTGCGCGCCATGCCTACTACGCATGTAGAAAAAGTGCCAACGATTCTCTGCAGCGAGGGCAGGGCAGGACAGTTCTCGTCAGCACGTGTGTCGAAGGCGTGAACGGTCTCTTCCACATCTAGACCGTGCATTGATTTGGATCTGGGTGAAGCAGTCAGCTTTATGTAGCGACAAGCCGTCTATGCAAGTTTCACAGGTTTCCAACGTGCTTGCTGAGCCACTGCGCATTCATCACCGCACAGGACGCACCCTGCGTCGCTGAATGGGAGGCTCCCGGCGAACACTTAATTTAGACTGGGACTTGCTTGACTGCGGATTTGGGGCGCACAGCAAGAGGGACAGCTGCTGCATTGCACGAGGAAGGCTTCGGAAGATGGAGCTGTGAGATTACTTTCTGCGCAGGAAGACCTTGTTCAAGCTTTGCCCCAAAAAGTTTCATGGATCATCTCTTTAGCGAATTCGTTCGCACAACGGCCTGAATCTGTCAGGGATTCAGGGTTGCACGGCGAACAATAGTTAGCACCACAGCATGAAGACCGCCCCCTCCATGATTCGTTCTGCGCGGCAGGTGGACCAATCCGCGCCTTTGCTGCAAAGACTGGTTCTGAACTGTGAATCGGAATCTTCTCTGCTCGGCCTCGCAGAAGTTTGTTGAGTCTTTTGTAGATTCAGCCTTGGCAACAAGCCCTCCCAGGAGGTGTGCCTGGAAGAGCTTATCGGAACCGGCAGCACAGCGGAGGAGGGGCCTGCACTTCTCCCCAAAAGAAACACGTCAGGAGATGGTGGACCTTAAAGTCTGTTCCTTGACCGTTCAGATCGTTTGCCTGGCAGCGAAACGCAGGTGTACCGGGCAACCTGGCATGGAACAGACGTGGCCGCAAAGAAGTTGCGATCCAAAGGCCAAGTCGGCAAAGATCGGGTATGTCTTGCGCCTCTACGTGTCAGCTAGACTTGTATGGGCAGGTGCTGGAGGTGTCCACCCCTCGAGAACCCCAGATCCGACCTTAGCTTCATCTTCCCGCTGGCCTGCAGGCCAACTTTCAACCGAATTCAAGCGTGAGATCTCAGTGCTGCTCCGCTTGCCTGGACCTTGAGCGATGCACCGTGCCAGTAGCTGATAAGACGCGCCGACATGGTATCATATGGGTCGTGCTATATCGTACCGTGGACAACATTGTCACTTGTCTCGTGTGCAAAGACATACTAGTACCACGTGGCTTTTGTTTCGCAAGATTCAAGCTTGTCTGGACCACGACGAAAGCTGTAAAGAAGAGTCTGCAAAGCTCAGAGCCTCGCCAATTCCAGGCAGCTTCAGAGTACAAGAAGCCCACATGTCTGCAGCCCTGCAGCCTGAAGAGCTTCAGGCGACACCCGAATTTGGTGCTCTTCATGGGCGCCTGCACCAAGGAGCGGGAGAAGAGAATGTTGCGGGCTTGCAGATCAGTGCGCTTCTGGACTTCCGTGACAGTGAGGGACAGTGATGGAAGCGAGGCTGCATGCACAAGCCCTGCATCCCGAAGTAGAGAAACCTCGTGTCTCGTCGTGTCTGAATGCAGACCCTGGAGGCCCATCAAGCTTTGATCATCTCAGAGTTCTGCTCTGGTGGGACCGTCTTCGTCAGAGCCTTATGGGCGCGAGCCGCGGTGCCTCATGTTCATGCAAAGAAGGAGAAACAGCATTTCGCTCCAGCAAGAAAACATACTGTAGATCTTCGCCATTCGACTCCAGGGATTTGCCAGAACACAGAGGAAAAGCTTCGGTTCTGAGGCCACCAGGTCAGTGCGACAAAATGTAATGAGGGTGTCCAACACCCAGACATGGATACTTTGCAGCTTTAGAGCCAACTTTACTGCAGATGGAGGTTTGGTACTTCAAGCCTGCCACTGGGAAGAAGACGTGTGCTTCCGGACTTGGCGACCTCTGGCTGAGAGTTTTCTGGCACGAGGCCTTGCTTCATCAGCGGCGCGATTTGTCGCTCCCTTGGCCCCAGCGGCTTCCGATTGCCTTGGACGTGGCGAAGGCTTGGCGACCTGAGCGGTGGGGCTGGACGAGTGCGTTGGTCATCTTGCTTCTTGTGGCTGCCAAGCTGCCAGGGGATGAACTTCCTCCATCGGCGGCAGGCCCGGCCCCGTCTTCCACATAGGGTTCCAGTTGTCACGTGTGGTGCAGGGGTTTAGGGTAGGGCTTCAGAACTCCTGGGTTTGCCTCTCAAGACGACCCTACGTAAGCAGCCAGCAGGTCGTCCACAGAGACCTGAAATCGCTGAACTTGCTCCTGGCCTGCCCAATCCGTGGATCCGATGATGTTCCCGCCGTGAAGGCGCAAACATCCTTTGAAGTTTGGGGCCGAGGTTTTCTCAGGCCCTTTCTCAGCAAACTTTCGGGTCCGTTGACCGTGACACCCAAGAATTGCAAACCTTTCTGGGAACTGGCATTCGCTGGGGTCAGAGAGCTCCCCAGAAGCGAGCAATGCGTCCAAAGCTTCGGGTTTTTAACGGTTGCCGAAGGCGGCCAAAGACCTGTTTTGTTCACGACTTGGGCCTAGCATGGGAGCACGAGGTGTCCGACTTTGGCCTGTCGCGGGCCTTCCGCCCCGATGCGGCGCAGGCCTGCAATGGGCAAAAGTTGTGCTCCCCACATGGCAAGGCTAGCAAAAGGTGTAGCAGAAGGGCCACGTAAGACGCGATAAGAACCCGAAAATTGTAGTGCAAGTGTCATCGTTAACAAGCTGCATTCATTCGTTCCTAAAACATCTTAGACAGGCCAGATACAGACTGGACTCAGCTGAACCCCTCCATGTAGGTCGCGGCAGAGTAGGGCGACCCCGACGGCAGTGGCAGCGGAAGTGAACGCATTACACCGTGATAGCTCTAGTCATCAGAATCAGTTATCTTGCAACAAGCTCAGAGCGGTGAGTTCTAGGGTCTCCCATGCCACACACTCGGAACAAGAAGAAAGCCAAACAATGTAGGGGTCTCTTATCACATTCAATTATCGTGTCTAGATCAGGCCTTGTTCTACTTGTCGTGGTCTGTTCCCATATTTGGGCATTTGTAGAGCCAAGCACTGTGACAGCGGAAATGTTTGAACCACTGCGGGCACAGTCCCGGCACAGTCCCGGGAACATGCCGGATCGCTGCGGCAGTTGTGACACCACAGGCCAAAGAATCAGAGACAAGAAGAAGAGTATGCAGAGTATCCCGAACAAGTTCTGTTCCGCTGATGCGGACAAACCTACTGCCTGCCCTCCGCCTGGTCAGGCAATAGGTCACCATATTTGCACATACAGTTTGTCGCAACATCTGCTTAGCTCATTGGTGCTCTTGCTGACGATGTCACTGTGCTTCCAGTCCCGAGTCTCAAGCTGAATTTTGCCTTCTCCGCAGCTAAACCCGGTGAAAACCATCACATACACGAGGCCATGATGACCAATGGTGCTGGAACCTACCACTGGATGGCTCCAGAGGCGTGCACGCAGCACGAGGGTCTAAGCTTGAGAGGTCGAAAGGTTTGTCGGATGCCTGGGCAGAGTTTGCATGCAGCCTCCACGTTGTTGGTACACAATTCGCACAAAGGCCGTCCAAAAGAACGGCTGTTTGAATCATTCAGATCAAGCACTGCAGGTGCAGACATGCGGGAGTGGATATGGAACAAGTCCCATGTTGCTAGTGTTTCGTTTGATGGGTTGTTTTGGCAGGTCCTGTCTGGCCAAGGCTACGACGAAAAAGCTGGGGACCTGGCCTAAACATGAAGAGAGGCTTCGGAAATGCGCATGAGGTTTCGTGCAAAATCCTGCACATTCTCTGTATTGGCAAGTTGGCATCTCTATAGAGGCGGCTCGCTTCGATACCAGAAATGGTGTTGCTCAGCTGCTTAATCTGAACTGAATGGGGCAGAAACTCTCCGCGGGATGAAACAGAGTCGTTGCCATAGTCTATTCTATGTCCAGCCACATCGATGTTGCTGCGAAGCACGCGCCTGCCCGGAAGGATCACAGGCAACATGCAAGATACTGCAGATGGCAGGACTCCAGCTTCTGCTCCGCTGCGTGCACGGACAAACAGACAGACAGACAGACAGACAGACAGACAGACAGACAGACAGCAAACACACGGAGGAAAAAAAAGCACGCACGCACGCACACCCGCCACGCTCTCTGACACGCGCACGCTGAACGAGGCACCCGGCATCCCTGCCAGACGGGGGCATCAAGAATTCATAACAATCCCTGCATCTTCCTGATTCCAGGAACATCCTCTGGACTCGACCCAAAACCAAACCCCGAAAATCTTTCAGTAGTGCGAAATTCCGAGCATTGACTGTGACACTCAGGTGGACGTCTACTCATATGGCATTTGCCTTTTCGAGCTCATCACCCGGCGCATCCCGTACGAGGGCTCAGGCCCACTATTGGACTTGGAAGCCGGCATTGCTTCGAGAGGGAGAGCATAGGGTTCTGAGGCTTTGTTCCTTCTGCGGCATGTCTTGGTATCAAATTTCTGGGCTCGCTATACATCATTTCTGTTGATGTTAGGCCTCGCATTGTTAGTAGCAGTAGCATTTCTGTTAAGCGTGCTGGGTGTCGGGCAAATCCGGACACCTTCCAGCGTGGCTGCCCTCCGTCGTAATGTGGATGGCCTGGTCCACAGGGAGGCTCTCCACAGACCGCCTGGGGCGACCATTGGGTTTTGCAAGTCATGACCCTCTCTTTCTCGCGGTGACTGGGCGAGGGATTCAATCCCTGTATAATTTTAACGCTACGCCGCCCGCCTCGGCTGCTGAGGGCCAGAAGGCACGGAAAGCTGCGGCTTTGCATGAGTCGTCTGCTTGGGGGGGTGGAAAATGGACGCAAAAAGCGGGTGGTTCCAACCGTTTGGACTGCAGGGAGGAGGATTAGGTGGAGGTAACCCGCAAGACGCCTGCCCACTGCACTAACGGCTTCTTCAAATGTTACCTGGCTGTTACCTGAGCCAAGCTGGTCCCAAGCTGTGCTTCTGTTTCTTCATACTCTTAAGCAGGAGAGAAAGAGCGGGAGCTGAGTCTTGCAGCACACAGAGAACAGCTAAAAACATAACATGCAGACAGAAAAACAGGGAACAGAGGCAGCAACGGCAGGGCAAGGCGGGTCTATTGCAAGCTGGGAAAGGTGGCGAAGGAGGAGGGGAGAAGCAGAGAGGAGCAAGGAAGGGAAGGCAAGGGGTGGGGAAGGGGGGGGCAGGGGGGGTGGGGGGGGCAGGGAAGAGGAAGGCAGGGAAGGAAGCAACAAAGGCCAAAAAGCAGGAAAAAGTGAGGGGGTCGAGGAGGCAAAGGCCAAAAAGTCAGATAAAATCACGGGAAGCCGGGAGAGGGGGTGGAAAATGGACGCAAAAACCGGGTGGGTCCAACCATTTAGCCTGCAGGGAGTACTTCAGGTAGCCCCCAAGACGCCTGTGCCTTTGGCGTCGGCGGACTTCTCGACGAGGCTCTTATGTGCAACCTCACACGCCCAGGACCATGTTTTACCAAACCAGGCTGCTCATGAAGTTGGGGTCGCAATGTCATCGCCAGGTTTGGAGCCGGTATCCATCGCAGTGGCCGTCAGCAGAGGCAAGCGGCCGGATGTGGCGTTCATCCCCGAGGCCGGGTTGAGAGGTCGGAAATGGTCAGAGTAAACGAGGGTAATAGGCGGGCTCTCCACAAATCCGGTTTCGGCATGCAGTGGGGAAGCTCTCTGAAGTTTGCAGTTACACCCTAAACAGATCATGCGAAGTGGCCACGACCAGTCTGACCATGTGGGCCCTAGACCCTAAGGCACGACAGCCGGGTCTGCGAGAAGCCCCTTGCAGGACACCCCGGCAGACCTGCGCTTCACAATGAAATGCTGCTGGGCACACCGCGGGCATCTCGGGGAGCTCGGAGCTCCGCAGATATCCTGCAGTCCTGCAGTAGCTTCGGAGCTTCTCACTGAGGTTCCAGCGGACGTCCAGGTTTCGATACGATCCTGGACAGCGACTCAGAGGGTGGCATCAAGAAATTCACGCAAAGCAGCTCAAGCGAAGCGCGCTCTTGCAGTGGTCCCCTCCCTGCGAGGAGACTCTGAAGCTCGTCAAGTCCACGAGGCTTCCGCGGCCCAGAGGAAGTCAAGCAAGCTGCATGAAGCATCCAGAGATAGACAGTGCTATGCAATGACACGTTCCGACTGGAGCTCCACAGCACGCAGTGCCGAAGCATGCCTTTACCGCAAAAGCAAATGCCTAATCCTGAATCTTCGAAGCGCTTCGTGGTACGAAGATGCAGCTAAAAGTCAATTCATTGCATGTCAGACAACCTGGGTGCTGCGGCTTCTCGGACCAAGCTGTCACAGCAAGTACCGCCGCACGCACCGCCTTTTGTTCCATGAGAGTTTCCCAAACTGAGCGACCCCCCAATACATAGTAGGATCTGACAGCCGAAACAGGGAGCCCTAATTCGAGATTCAAATGTATCACCCCATTGTCACGCTTAGCACCACGTTCACATTTTGCAAATTCTGACACATCACGGTACCATGTGGCCCAGCAACATTGGCCGCACAACGAATCGCGAGGCATTGGCTTGAAAATGCTTCCCGTGCCTTGCACGGCATCATTTGTTGTACTGCGAAGCACCTCGTTTGCTTCAGGCATTCGCGGAGCTGCTTGACAGCTCGTGGTCCGCTTTCCGGCAACAGCTTCTGGAGGCGAATTGCTGCAAGGTCGAGCCAGTGATCTGTGCTCCTTGGCCTGTCTTCAGGCCTATCCGGACACAACGGCCGGCCGGCAGACGCCTTCCGAGGTCCTTGAGGTGTGCTCAACCCGAGCTCCCTTCATAACTTGATGGCAAGAGTAGATTTGAGAGCATTGCTCGCATGCACGTGTTTGGAAGTTTCGGGCCCCACTTTGTGCAGTACTCAGTTGAGCCACCGTCAACAACCCCATAGTCTAGGCTGTATTTCCAACAGTCTTGGTTTTTGATGGCGGCCACAGGTGCTTGCGTGGATTGAATGGGGTCAGGGGATGCGATTGTTTAGGCCTGGCTGACTACTGATTCCCGGCCCGATATCCTCAGAGCTAATATGTGTACAGGAACCGTGTCTGAGACTGATCCCTCAGCAAGGCTTTTCATAGCCTCAAATTGTGGCTATAGGCAGGGGGCTAGTGGTCTGGCCTACCGCCACTCCAACCGATACCCAACCCAACCCGCACGTTTTGAAGCCATCGCCCCTTCAGTCTAAATCTTCATGCGTACAGTAACCCCATTATCGGGGTTGGTGTAAACCTTCCAGCTCAACAGCTTGGAAGATCGAGGAGTTTGGGCCAGCACGGGGTTCTCGGGCTGCCGGTGTACGTCTAAGTCTTGTGTTCTATGCCTTAAGATAGAGGCGCATGTATCTAAATAGATCGGTTTTACAAGATAATAGCATCCAAGCGGGCTTTTGGCCACGAGTCTCGGCCCCTAACACCAATGCCTTTATGCCTTCATCGATGATATCGATGCAGACTCGGCAAGTGGAGGTCCGCTTCGATGTTGAAGAACGGAGCACGCCAGCGGAGGCCGGCAGAACCAACATGCACAGTTGGCCCTTATATATGTTAAGGAGGATAGCGACATGCGAGTCCGTGGTATCAGAGCTGCTGGTTACAACCATGTTGCAGATGACTTCTCAACGTCATAACACACACGCACACACAGAGACACACACGTAGACAGAATGATAGCCATAACATGTGCCTGGATACTATGACACAGTATCTATATCATGTTTCGACATGTCCGAGTATACAGGGTATATAAACCTTTTGTATACATACATTAGTGAGTGAGTGTCGACCTGGGGTGCTCTCCGGCCTACGGAAACGGTCCCTCTCGCCTTCTTT